TTACTCCTTCAAAAAATTATTATATTGTTCAGATATTTATATAAATTTTTTTTAAAAAAATATTTAAGGTCGGAATCTTTTTTTTAAAAAACAATTAAATTATATTTTATGGCTGGTACCATAAAATTTTATTTTTTAGAGATATTTAATATGTATTACTTTTACGCTTTGAAAATATTTTTTGGTTTTTCGGATTTTTTATAAATATATTTATTAATATTTTTTTAAATTAAAAAGGCTTAACCTCATCTCTTTTCATTCATTATATACCTTAATTTTATATAGTGATGTTAAGGTAACTTTACCTGTAACTAGTTACATTTTGGCTAAAAAATAACTGTAACTAGTTATATTTTTAAATAGTTATAATTTTTGAAATGTAACTGCCAAAAGTAACTAGTTACTTTTAAAGATATATTCAAATAATTAATTTTATTTTTATCATGTTGTGATAAATTAATTTTAAATTAAATTTATTTTTTAAATTAAATTTATTAATTTAAAATTTTGTGAAAATGTCTGATTGTTATAATTTCCCGTTCAAATTTACCTTAATACCTCAAAGTGAATCCCAGACGAATGAATCATGCTTAAAACCAACATCACTTGATGTAGTTGGATTTTTTGACCTAAAGCGCCAAAATATTCTGGATAATGAACTTATAGAAAACTTTATCAAATCTAATAACAACACTTTTTCCTAATATAACGATTTTCCAAAGTTAAAATTACTCTTTATTAAATATAATGTTGTTCTAACATCAAGTGCTCCAGTAGAGCGCTTGTTCAGTGTATGTAAGCTCATTTTTGGAGATAAACGAGCACGTCTCCTAGATAATAACTTTGAAATTAATTTGTTGTTAAAAGCAAATAAACATTTATTAGATTCTAATTTTTATGAAAAATAAATGTTTTTTTTTTCAATGCAAATATATATTTTTATATTCGATGTAAATATTCAATTTTGCGATATTTTTTTATATAAATAAATTGTATATTATTTTAAATAACTGATTATACTTTGTTTATCCTAATTTTTTTTATATTAAATAAATGCATTCAATAAATAAATAATGCGCATATGAATGATGTATAAAGTAAGTAACTAATTACTTTTGAAAATAACTGTAACTAATGTTATGTTTTTGCCAATGTAACTAGTAACTGTAACTAGTTATATTTCAAAAGTAACTTTTAACATCACTAATTTTATACTATTTACTTTTTTTAAAATCCCTTATTTTGAATCCCCACGTTGGCACATAATTCCATATCCCAATACGACATATATATACTTCATCATAATTTTAATCCATCATATGTTAAAATATAAGAACATAAAATTAAAATATGAAAAAGGAATAATACAAAAAAAATATGGAAATTTTTGCATATAGTATTTAATTTTTTAAGTAACGAGTAATGCATGAGCATGAGTAATGCATTATTTTTTTGGAGTAACGTTTACAGCACTAATTTTAAATGAATTTTTTTCATTTTCTTCTAATTTTATTGATTCCCATATAGAATTAATTTAAAGCTATAATAGTGGCCAATAAATAATTATTATATCATATTTTTAAGCAAAATTTAATTGATCCGAGCCCTCATTCTACTAGCCCCTAAGGACTAATATGATTAAACATTTCCTGGGCAAAAAAAATATACTGTTAATTTTCCTTTTATTATAGTAGAAAGTTTTTTTTTATATATAAAATAAGAAACGTGCAGGCCAAGCTATAAGCCCGAGTACACAGGCCGGGCAGTATTTTAATTTCTTTAAATATACAGGGCCGGGCCTAAAAAATTTTTTTTTAAATACCCGGGCAGGGCCGTATTATTTTACGCCATTATTAGCTATAAAAAAAATAAAAATAATATATTTAAAAAAAATCCGGGCAGCCTTAAAATATAAAGGCGGGCTGGGCAAAAAAATAAAAAAATAATCCGGGCCAGTGCAGGTCATACAAATGGTACCTCTGTAGATCTGAAAATATAATTTCAATTTTTCAAAAATATTTAAAAAAATAGTGGTATCATATAGACAACCTCCCCCAGCCATATCAGAAAGCATATAAATTTTTAAATAAGATTAGATGGGGAAGCATTTCAATGATTAGACCTCCATCATATTAATTCTGTTTTAATCGTCAGAATTAATAATTTTAGGGCTTTAAAATATAAAATATTATCTTTTTTTAACATGTGCTAAATTTAAAAATAAATGTTTCAAATATAAATAATATTATAAAACTTGTTTGGTAATAGTAATGAATAAAAATATATTTAATTATAATATTTTGGTTGTTTCAATAGAGATGATATAAGTATTATATTAAGTTTAAATTTAACAATTTGAAAGTGGTTTCCAAATCATATTTTCCTGTCTGAAAAAATTTTTTTTAGTTAATAATTAAGAAACTTTCTAAATAGCCCTATTTCCAAAAAAAAAATGTTTTTAGACCCTAGTTCGACTTAAGCCTCATTTCAGGTTCAACTAAGTCTGTCTAAAGGCCGATAAATATAAAAATGCGATTTTCATTAAACTCCATTCTCGATATTGCAACTGATGTAATTCATTTGAGATAATGCATTCGCTTCGCAATAATACATTAGCGATAATGAATTCGCTTTAATATCTTCACAATAATGCACACGCGATAAAGCATTTACTGCAATGCATTAGCGATAATGTTTTCGCGCTAAGACATTCACGATAATACATTCGAATAATGCATTCGCGATAATGAATTCGCTTTAATATTTTCGCGATAATGCATTCGAGGCATTTGCGGTAATGCATTCGCGTTATTATATTCGCTGTAATGCGCGGTAACCTTCTAATCTTATACTTCTCTTCCAACAAGAGGTTGGTTTTGGAACAACCAAAAACTCATGACCGGGCATTTCTTAGACTTTCCGAGAATCAACAAGGGATCCAAACCGAACCTTTAACCCAGTATTTTAATGATTTTCTATTAGAATCTGAACAAATCGTTAAAATGTAAAGAAGTTCGAACCTTATGATTTAATGCTGTGAAAGTTATCTAGTAGTATATTGTAAAATTCTAATTTATAGCCAAATTGTTTTAAGATTATTACCAATCAATTTAACTTCCTTTTTAAATTAAATTTTAAAAATGCTTATTAATGCCTAGGACTAAATTAAATATAATATATAAATTATCTAAGTATAGTATTATTGTAAAGTTGAAGATTTGTGATACTAATAAAATGGTATAACATGGAAAATTTTTATAAGAGTAAAAAATTCTAGTGAAAATGCAACATCAATAAATAATTTTTTACTTTAAAAAGAAGGATGGTATAACAAAATCTATTAGAATTAGAGAATATTGAAAATATTTTAGTTAATTAATGAATAGACTATTTGTAAAATCAGAATAATCGATTCTCCGCTGTATATAAATTTTCTAATATTTAGTTATTATAATTTTTAAATTTAAATAAAAAAAACATTTTTCATAAAAAAAATATTATTGAGGTGAATCTAGACAATATTTTAATTGCACAGCTCAATTAAAAATTTACAATAGGCATGCGGGCTAAAAGATTTTTTGGCGGGTGGGCGGACGGGTTAAAAAATATTTTTGTAACAATGGGCAAGTGAATTTAAAATATTTTTAGGGTGTGAGCAGATTTCTTTTTATTAAAAATCATCTTTTATATCATAATATTATATTTTATAAGCTTAAATAAAGATACATTATAATAAAATAAATAAAGCGCCAAACCAACTAATGAAATCATTTTTAAACATTAGGCGGGAGGTTTAAACAAAATTTTTATATATTAGCAAGACGGGCAAATTAAAAAACTATGGGCGAGCGAATTTATAATTGCGGGTGAGCGTTAGGGTTAAAACTCGCCCATTGCAGACCTATAAGCTTAATATTATTAAGTAAATATGGTTCAATATTGCACTAATAAACTGCTATAATTTATATATTAGATATTATTTAAAATTTTCAATTAATTTTTTAATGTTGAAATAAAAAAAAATGTGCTTCTCTATATGTAATTCTAATCAAATGTTGTGTAAAATAACTCATTGTTTTTAAAAACCGAACCTGAACTATTGCTTTTATCTAACTTTGAACCGATATTGGTTTCGCCTCGGATCCCCAAATCTGCTAACAAGCATTGTTCTCAGTACCCTCCCCTATTATTGGCCAATTTATTATAGTTGGTGTACAAATTATTTTTTTAGTGAATAAATTCATTGTTTTAAATGATGAAATTACATTTTACTAATTATAAATATTTTAACCAATTTTGTATTTAATACTGATATTCGATTATTTATATTGATTAAATATTAATTTTATGCTGGGAAAAATAAAAAAATATACTGAACAAAAAATACTGGAGGTTTTATTTACATAAATCAGAGACCTGCAGAGGTACCTTTATTATCAAAGAATTTTCAGGCCTGGCCCGAATTTTTTTTAAATAAATTTTATTTATTTTTGATTTTTATAGCTAATAATGGCGATTTCAAATATTTGGTTTTAAAATATACGGCCCTGCCATATTTAAAAAAATTAAAATACGGCCGGGCCGGGCTTAGGGCCAGGCCTGCAGGTCTCTGACATAAATACTATGATAATCAATGCTAAATTAAACAATTAATAATAAAGAGACTTGGTAATTGCCTAAAAAATAGAGGACATTTCTTTCAAACACCTATTTGCTTGTTAATTATGTATAATCTAATATTTCATAAATGTCTAATCTTATTCATGAATTTTCACTTGCATCTTTTGTATATTTGATAAAATTCGCCCATAATTACTTTATTTACATAAAAATAAATCAAGTTCTCAATAATATTCTCCTCATGATCAAAAAAAAGGATCAACCTGAATAAAAAGCTTTGCACAAATATTTTTTCTTAAAACTAATACTTTTTAGAAATAATAAATCATATCTTAAAATAATCATAAGGTGTGTCAAATGTTTATAAATAGAAGCTTTACCATGGTTGATCTTCTATCCAATTAGCTAAACAATGTCTAACTTCAAAAGGAAACGTTTGGACATATAACGGTATTTTTTTGACAGCATCACCTTGGATTTCCAGAATTTTTGCCCAAAGTGCCATGAATTATTCTATAAATAAATTTTAAATAAAGGAGTAATTTCTGTGTAATATATTTTGAGATTATTGAGAATGCTTATTCTTGCGATACTAAATATAAGATCAGGACGATATTTAGCATTTTTTGAAAATATCGGATAGTGCCAATATTTTTAAAAACCTATCCGGTATTTTATTGTTTCTGGTTATTTAATGATTTGTAGTATAATATTTTTTGTATAATTTCATAATAATCAATTAATAAAAGCAAACAAAATTCAATTTATTTATGATGTTTAAAAATATAGAATTATTTTAAAAGATAAAGCTTAAAATTTGATATTATTTTCGTTATATTATCTGCAATAGAAAATATCTAATGAGTTACATTCAGCTAGTATGTTAAACGATTTAGTCGATTTTTTAAAGTGGCTAACTTAAGATTTTAGCCAAAAGTAAATTACCCAAGCTTAAAAATTTGCCCAGAGATGACAGAAAGTGAACATCTATGAAATTACAAGAATAATATTTTGATATTTTACATAAACTTAATTTAGACGTTTCAACGCTACATTCAGCCATAAAAATAGCCAATATTTTAAATGAAATGAGCATTTGGAAAATAAAAAATCAAAATACACTTAATCATTCATGAAAGTTAGTTGGTTATTTAAACAAATGACATTGTTTTGGGATGGAGGTTAATAAAAAATCAATTTGTAAATATCATATCACATTGATGGCTGCCCATTGAACAAATACTGTGTTGTGCAGATTTAATGGAAAATATTTCTATAAACTTGTAAAAATTGATAAAAATATATAAATATGTTATTGTAACAATTTTTTGCAGCTCAAATAATTTTATTTGCAAATAAATGAAAACACAACACTGTAATAATGAAAGTAGATTCAATAACAACGAACGTACTTACAAATTATCTCATAAAATTCTATTAATAAGCGTAGAATGGATATGATAAAAACAATCGGTATTTTTTTTTATAATAAAATTTTATTTTCATTTTACAATATAGCTTCTTAATAATCTGTATTGGCTGTTTGCTTACATATTTTCACAAGACATCACATTGGTTACATTCATTGGATTTTTTTAATTTTAATTACAATACAATGCATATTTTTATTATATATATTACATAATAATGATTTTAAATATAACGCTATCTATATTATATATTTTAATTTATAAAAATATTAAAAATTTAATAAAATTAAAAAAACAAAATGGCTCGATTTTTTTTATTGAACAGTTAAATATAAGGGTAATAACCATTTCGAGCGAATATCATAACCCAAAAAAAATTCCTTCTCAATAATGTTAATTTTTTATTTTTACTGGAAATAAGACATGGAATTTTTTAATTTTTTTGTTATATTTTCCAATGTAGAATTTTAAGGGCTAAAATAATATATAATTTTTAACTCTATCTTAAGTATTTTTGCATTGCGCGATTTTCAATTTTGAAGGTGTATAACTAGTGTTGTTAATCGACTAAATTTAGTCGACTAACTAATACTTTTAGTCGAAAAATTCGAAAATTTAGCAACTAAATTAGTCTATTAGTCGAAAAGTGACTAATTTAGTCGACTAAAACGACTAATATAGTCGACTAAAACGGCTAATATAGTCGACTAAAACGGCTAATTTAGTCGACTAAAAGAACTAATTAAGTCTACTAAATTAAGTCATAATCGTTATTTTTGAACTTTTTTTATATTTTTTAGGTAAAAATATATGTTGTAAAGATGTAAAATCAGTGAAGATGTACCATCATAGAAAAATATTAATTATCAAAATCGTTATTTTTGAAAAGTAAATAGGTAAAAATATATATATTGTAAATGTGTTAAAATAAAAGTGAAGATGTACCATAGAAAAGTGGCAATTGGCATAATCGTTATTTTTTAACTTTTTTAAAACAAATAGGTAAAAATATATATTGTAAAGATGTTAAAATAAAATTTCAGTGAAGAAGTACCATAGAAGAGTGACAATTGTCATAATCGTTATTTTTTACCTTTTTTATATTTTTTTTAAGTAATTAGGTAAAAATATAAATTGTTAAGATGTTAAAATAAAATTTGAGTGAAGATGTACTATAGAAAAGGGACAATTGTCATAATCATTATTTTTGAACTTTTTTGAATTTTTTCAAAGCAAATAGGTAAAAATATATATTGTAAAGATGAAATAAAATTTCCGTGAAGATGTACCATAGAAGAGTGACAATTGTCATAATCGTTATTTTTTTAACTTTTTTTAAAGTAATTAGATAAAAATATATATTGTAAAGATGTTAAAATAAAATTTCAGTGAAGATGTATCATAGAAAAGTGACAATTGTCATAATCGTTATTTTTGAACTTTTTTGAATTTTTTAAAAGCAAATAGGTAAAAATATATATTGTAAAGATGTTAAAATAAAATTTCAGTGAAGACTTACTATAGAAAAGTGACAACTGTCATAATCGTTATTTTTTAACTTTTTTAAATTTTTTTAAAGTAAATAAGTAAAAATATATATTGTAAAGATGTTAAAATAAAATTTAGTTGTACCATAGAAAAGTGACAATTGTCATAATCATTATTTTTGAACTTTTTTGAATTTTTAAATAGGTAAAAATATATATTGTAAAGATGTTAAAATAAAATTTCAGTGAAGATGTACCATAGAAAAGTAACAATTATTATAATGATTATTTTTGAACTTTTTTGAATTTTTTCAAAGCAAATAGGTAAAAATATATATTGTAAACAAGTTAATTTAAAATTTTAGTGAAAATCCCACAGAAAAGTCACAATTGTCATAATCGTTATTTTTGAACTTTTTTTAATTTTTTTAAAGTAAATAGTTAAGAATATATATTGTAAAGATGTTAAAATAAAATTTCAGTGACAATTGTCACAATCGTTATTTTTTAACTTTTTTTAAAGTAAATAGGTAAAAATATATATTGTAAAGTTGTTAAAATAAAATTTCAGTGAAGATGTACCATTCCCCGAATACTACGGTGCCTCCTTGGCCGATTAGATAATCCATCAAAGAGGAAGGAACAAAAAGGATGATTCAAAATTAAAATCTAAAATTATACAGCTACTAGAACATAATGGATTGACGATAAAAAATATAGTGGAGAATTTACCACCTCATCTCAAAATGAGTTATTCGGGAATATCTAGATGCCTTAAATCAATGGGATGGAGCAGGAAAAGGGTTGGAAAAGAGCCCGATAGACGGAATTCCTCAGATGTTATAAATATTCGTAAAGAATATTGCCTAAATATGATGAACGTGCCATTTCAAAATATATTCTATTTAAATGAAACAGGCTTCAATTCCCACGTCATTTCCCACTATGGATGGGCACCTCTGGGTAAGAGGCCATCCTTCAAACTCCCTCCTTCAAAGGGGAAAAACGTATCAGTTTTATGCACCATAGGAAATAATGGTTTCAAAAAATACATGATTATAGACGGGGCATTTACATCAATAAAATTCTAAACTTACCTGGATGAATTATCATACATTTTTACCGTTGAATTCGCTAATAATAATGGATAATGCGCCCATTTACCGAGCTCATATAATAACAGAAAACTATGAAAATATATTATATCTTCCACCCTTTTCCCCTCAATTAAACCCTATTGAGAATTTTTTTGACGTTTTGAAAAATCAGTATCGTTCTATATCAAACCCAATAACAGAATTCATATAATTGAGGCAATTACTAGCCTATTACTTAATTTCACAGCCCTCTATTCACATACGATACGATATATCGAAGAGGGAATCCGATCTATTCCTTTAACAATTAATTTAATAAATTATTACACTAGATTATTATATAATATAGATATATTTTTTCGTTATATTATGTGCAATACAAATTTTTGTTTCTTACTATAATATATATCGTAATTGTAATTAAATAATTTGATATGTAAAAAATTCTAAAATAATCACTAAAAAAATAATAGATTTATTTATACACTATATTTATCTTATAAGTTTATGATACAATATCTTAATGATATATGGACCTCATATTCTTTAAGTAGAAAACAACAGACTAAATAGATAATACCAACCAACAAAACCTATTTGACTATTCATTTACTATATCAATGACCAATTAAAATAACCTTAATCAACAACGCCATCTTTTTTATATACATCAGAAATAACATCTCCTACAGCAATTACAAATTCACCTTAACATCATCATTATGTCACCCAACCTTAAAATTGAATTTAGCAGGCAAACAATTGAAGCAATTATAAATTCACCTTAGCATCATCCATCAAGATGGTTACAGCACATTATTATATCTTCAGGCATTTATGACATTTGACACTCTTTTCAAAGAGAAACAATAGATTATATAAAGTAACATCTTCTACAGCAACCACAAATTCACCTTAACATCATCATTACGTCACCCTACCTCATAAAATTGAATCCAACAATATAACACAGAATGTTATAAAGGAAAACTCATTTGAATCTTAACAACAATTATGTACCAACAATAAATCAGGTCTATTTCCTCTATTAAATCAAACATGTCTATTCTTCAAGAGGCTTCAATTCCAAAGAAAGGGATAATCTAACTTCAAACATTAATATTCAAAAGTCTTTCTTCTCAACCCACCCAATTGAGACTCAAGGATTGCCTCCCTTTTTTTTCACCAGAAGTTACCTCACATATCTTACTTTCTTATTTTTTTCACTACTTATTTTTAAAACTTATTAAACAGCTTGTTTTTAAAAATAACTTTTAACCTTCAATTAGTTCAACACATATACTATATCAATAAATTTACATATAGACTTTTTATTATTTAACATTATAACCAATTTAACACTTATATTATACATTCATGAATTTCCATATTGATTTATCTTATAACATTTAAATATTCAATAAATCCACATATTATTTTTTTAAACAACATTTAACCTTTCAATTAATTTAACACTTACATATATATTTATTTTTTCT